TACACAAATCGATTCATAAATCTCAGTAGTTTTTACTGAGTTATGGAAATTCCTCCCCTGAGGCGCAAGCCGCATGTTGCCCAGATGTGCCCAGTAAAGTTGTTATATCTAGTATCCAGAATATGCTTTATAAAGGTGAAAAATATCAAACACGTAGAGCTAATTTTTGTTTGAACGACTATTTTTTCACTCACTTTTTCAGCACGAAAAAAAACGATTGACAGAAAACAAGTGTTTTTTTAATTGGACATCGCTCTTATGGGTATGACTTGTGAGATAAGAATTTGATTATATTACTTCGAATCATCAAGTAAAACATGTTCGTCCTTCTCTTACAAGAGAAATAAAAAATATTATGGTTGATAGTACGTACACTTCATAAAATACTACGGTAGTCTTTGCTTAGAATTGAATACTTCAAGCCAAATACTACAATAATGCTATGCTACGGACATAGTAGCATTTCTGCAATAAACAACAACTACTATATGCTATTATAATAGTTTTTTTTATATCACAACAAAAAAGATCAGAAAAAAGACGAATTCCTTTGTTGTTCTCGTCCTGCAATAAGCTACGGCACAAGCTGTAACCAACAGAAACTACTACTACGTAACGTGAATAAGAAAGTGAAAGTGAGACGAACAGTCTCACGTAGAGATCTCGCGACGGCAAGAAGGGCAACGAGCGGGTTCTCCATCCTGCTCGGCATTTCGCACCAGCACATCCAAACAGGCCTTGTGCAGCTCATGGCTGCATCCGTCCAGCTTCACCGTCTCGCCTGAAGCCAAGTCTTGTCCGCAAATGACGCAGTTCCGCTCATGGTCCGGTTTCGCCAATGCCAGACCCGCTCGAGTGCTCAGCGAGGCCGAAATGCTGAAAAACGTTGCCTTCAGTTCATTGCCCGTCAGAACGTGGTGGTATGTTCCGCCCAGCTTCTCTGCAACTCGCTCCAGCACATTCAGGTTAATGCTTCCAAACCCCACTGCAAACGCCTGCAACCCGTTCCTCTCGTAGCATCCACTGATGTGTGTAGCAAGTTGTTCACCTTGAAGGGGGTCGCAAGGGTGTCCATCGCTGAAAAACACAATAGCTGGCTTATACACGTCGAAATTCACTCGTGATAGCACCTCGTTAGCAGAACGTAATCCTGCTGCGTAATTGGTCCCCCCGCCGCGATACTGGATCGTCGCGTTCGTCATCGTCGTGATGTTCTGGGCTTCGTACACGATTTGCGCGTAATTATCAAAAGTGACAACCGAGATCAAGTCCAGTGTAGCTCCGTCCGCAATACGGTTGTAGACGTATTCCTTCCACGCAGCCATGAGATCATCCCAAGGCCATCCGTGCATTGAACCAGAGCAGTCCAGAACAAACACGTGGTGCATCTTGCCACCACTCGCAATGTGCGAGCACTCGAACTTGTGTCCACTTACGTACGTGCATCCGTCGAAGCTTGTAGATTTGGGCTCCGGTTTGTGCCACGCTGGAAGAATGCAGTGCGACGGTTTGTCATCATGGTCGGGAGCGTCGCACTTGTACGCACACTTGCCAAAGAGTTCCAGCTCCATCTTCGACGTGCACGGATCTTCCCAACCTAGAGTCTTCCAGAATTGCTCATGAAGAACTTCGTCTGTCTCCTTCTCCGGCTTGGGCTCTAAAGCTCGCATACAATGACGACGCTGGTCGGTTGTACTGCCAGAGTACACGCACGCTGCTTTGCTGCCTTGTTCGCAGTCAACGTAGTGCACGTGTTCTCGACCCATTTTGGAGCAGTATAAATTACACATCTCAGCGATTCCCAGCTCTCCAGCCTTGTACTTGCGTTCCTCAATGTCGATTTCCTCTGTATCTGACAAGAAGTACGTGTTGCGCATGTTGCCGTGCGACGTCGTATGTGGACCAAAATGTCCATATTTCTTCTTGCAAAAGTAGCTGCAGCACGGGCAGCGGACATCACAGTAGTGAATCGTTTGGTCATCGTCCTCGTCACTCTGTTCACAGATACAAGTGTGTGCACCCTGGTGCATTTTCTGACCAGGTGGCAACAACTTCGTGCATTTCTTACGAGAGCCGTTCATCTCTTGGAAAGTGAACTGAAATTTTCCACGAGCGCCTGTGAAAGTCTTGGCCGATTGTTTGAGAAACACATCCACTCGACAGATACCGTTCTCTTCGCACATTTCTTGACACTCGTGACCATTTCCACACATGTGCACTACCGGAGCTTCCGAAGAAGCGTCAAAAGTGTTTGATCCTTTCTCATCGTCGTTTTCCACTGAAAACACCACCGCAACGTCCAGTTGACCGTGGAAATGATCCATCGCACCACAAAGTTCATTGCATCCGTCCATAATGCATTTCTGCATGCAACGCACTTCAATACACTTGTGAGCAGTATGTGGGTCTTCCACGTTCAAGACACAGCGACCAGAGCAATTCTGGGCTGAGCATTCCTCACCGCAAGTGTGAATGGGAACATCGCACTTGTGCCAATTGGTGTGGCCTCGCTTCATCGCACACTTTTTACCGCAGTTTGGTGAAATTGCCATACTGCATTCTTCACCACAGGTGTGATCTCCATCACGACACTCGCACTTGCCTTCGTGACCGGATTCTTTGCGGCATGAAGGAGTTTTACCGTAGTTTCCACTGCTCTCGCAGTACTCACAGCGACCAGCACAGACATGGTTACCTCCACAGTCATGGTTAGCAGTTCCAGGGTGAGCAGCAGCTTTCATGCACCCAAGTCGACAATCATCACACTTGCTTTGACACCGTGTCAGGAGCATTTGGAATCGTCCCAGGAACTGCTGCTCCATAACCTTCCATTCTTCAGGAATTCGGCCTCTGAGCATTTGCTTCACCCAGACCGAGATTCGAGCCTTGCGGCGACGCACAAAGAACGCCAGGAATGCATCAAAGTCAGCAACGATCTCTCGCGACACTTTTCCACCCTTGATGCTCAAATTCGATCGTAGAAACAGTCTCAGAAGCTGTTTGATCGCACCATACACCTTGACAAATGTATCGTCACTTGTGGAGCTACAGTCGAATTCCAGATCAATCTCCCAGTCTGGAAGCGAATCGAGTTCGATGACCTCATTCAGACTATTCCACTTATCGGCAAGTGCAGGATACTCAGTAGTCAAAGACGCCAAATCCACATTGATCACTTTGCCGTTACCAGCCATCACGATGTCTTCCTTCAAGTACGGAGCAATGTCTTCTTCTCTCGATACGTATTCCTGCGGAATGACGCAGCCGGTTCGAAGAAGTCCTGGCAACTTGGAGCTGATCTCAGACAACTGAAACTGCTTTGCACCTTCATCGAGCGATGTCCAATCCAGAATCGCAATCTTGGCAAGCACCAAGCGGATACAGTTCAAAAACGTCTTACCACTTCGGAAACCCGCAGTATCCACGCCGTACAAGGACGTCTCGATAAAATTCTGGGCGTGCATCAGCGACTGGTAGTAGTTGATCGTGCCCAACGGCGGAGAGCAGTTGATATCCAGTTGACCAGAGTATAAATCCAGTAAGAAGTTACTGTCCTTGTTAGCACCAACCAATTTCTGGAACTTGGTGACGAATTCATCAAGCACTCCCTTTTGATCGTTCGGGTTCACATCTTTCACGGACATGTACAGCTTACCGCGGAAGAGACTCGGATCACCCTTGATCAAGGCCACACCCTTCTGGAAACGTGCAAACAAGTCGTCGATCTCCTTGTCGAATCGCATCTCCATTCGGAAAATGGTGAACATCGAGATCGACGCATTGAGTACCGACAGGAAAACATCCTCTTGCTCCGTTCGTTCGAAAGACCCGAGACCTTCAAAGTCAAGTACAATGAGAAGAACATTCTTCGGCAAAATACGGATCGACATCCACGCTCCATCAGTGCAACGAGCTCCAGCAATTGCAAAGGACGACCCAGTCAGGTGATTGAGTAGATAACTCTTGCCTGTCGATTGCTTCCCCATCGAAGTGATCACGATACAGCGGCCTTGCCATGACTCGAGCAATGGTGACAGCAGACCAAACCGGATCGAACGTGCAATATCAACGGCTTGAAGATTTTGCGATTGAGCATCCATCGACGTCGCCTTCCCATTCGTCATAACCGTCAGTGAGTTTGCCTCGGCTCTGCAGATCTGAATAGGAACGAATGTAATCAGCTCTTGAAGGAATGATCGAACCGGTTGTGTACCAACGTCCAAGGCAGAGTTCGACTCGGTCACGAATTGCAAATTTTGAGCGAAATCCATTCCACCCAGAGGTTTATTCAGCTTTCTCAGGTCACGCATCATGACTTGGAAGAAATACCGGCAATTCTCTCTAGTTGGTTCTGTCAATGTAGAACTGCAGGTTAAATACAACTTCAACGTTGCTCTGGTGTCGTCGACGCCTCGAATCAAACCACGCACTGAGAACTTTTCGTACGTGTGGTAGAATGCTCAGAGCCAGTGATCCACCTCGTCATCATCCACCGACTCCGCCTTGCTACCGTTGACAGAGCGTTCCTTGGAATGCTGAATCCGGAACGATTCGCTTCTCACAGTCACTGTTAGACGGCATACACACATTTTCTTCCTCTCCTCGTTCACTGCGAACAGCAAATCACCAAAGCTTTGAATCAACAAACCCTTCGAGTGGAGGGTAAACCCTCCAATATAATTCACTGGAACTCTGCGGAAATCTTCACTGGCCACGGCAAGTAGCTCAGCCCTCTCATCGTCTTCAGTTGAGTTCATGACTTCATATTTTCCCACAAAGCCGAGCACCATATCGTCAGCCATAGCAAACAGTGAACCGTTAGGTTCACAAGATCCCGATGGCATGATTCGCACTGCTCGAGATACTTGCTGGTTCTTGAGACTGACCGACTGGATCGAACCATTCGTGTCTGTGGCATAAAGAGAACCATCTACTAGAAGTACATTTGTCACTGGCATTGCCAACGACGTTCGCAGCGACAACTCAATTGGTTTGTAGATCTCCAGCGATGAGAACGTTTCATTGAAGCGATAGAGCACCACCCGACCTCCTTCCTCAACGAGCGCTACAACTCGGTCGTGAACGTTAAAATCGCATAATGATACCGATCGACCGAACTGACGTGCGAATGACACCTCCCCAGTGTTTCCTCCCCACCACGAGCGCTGAAGCGGGAAATCTACGCGTTCCACCAACGTCCCGCTCAAAGACGTAGTTACCAAAACGAGGCAGCTGTTCTTGATCGTGAAAGCTTTAAGAATTTTTGCACCAGGATTTAGACGATGTGTGCCCAGCTCAATGGTACTAAAAGTTCCGTCATCGTTCTGCACCAGCTTGGAAATCTTCAGCTGGTCGGTTGCAGGCTTCCATTGCTCCTTCTCGACGTCGCAGTAAACTGTCATCTGACGAACGCGTGGGCGGACTGTAGTCATCAATCCTTCTTTGTGTTGTTCTCGCCAAGAAAGAATCAGATCGTTAAACGCCTCTGTAATCAGCTTGTGTTCATCAGCTTGACACGACTGGCGGACAGACTTCTCCATGTCATCATTCCATTTCCTCGGCAAAACGCTTTCAGCTACAGTTAAGGCAGTCTCAATGGACTGAAACCAATTATGCCGAGCCTCGATCAATGGTCCCACCATGGCCTCGCGAAACTTGTCCGATAGCAACTCCGAAGTCTGGTCCCATGGTAGCATGCCACCGACCGTTTTCAATGCTCGTCCAATGATTCCATCACTACCAGTCTTAAGCTTGGTATCCAAGACAGTGAACTCTCGCATGGATACTGCAAGGGATTCGCCTACGTTCTCATCAGGGGCATTGCCGCTCTGATCGCGAAACATCGTAGCAATCGTTTTCATCTGGTTTTTAAGACGAAGCGGTAAATTCAACGTCACTTGTGTCGAAGTGTCGAGTTTACCCCAAATGCGGCGTTCTGACTGAATATCTTGAAAACAATTGTTCAGAGTCCTGAACGCTGATTCCCCTTTGTCTCCTTTGAACAAAATGTCCAAGTCGAACAAACGGTCCATATGGCTAAGTAGTGTCGCGCGGAGATCCTCTATGTATGTTTGTACTTGCTCCTTGGATTGCTCCACTGACGCTCGTAAGCTACGATTGAGCATATCCTTGACATCCGTTAGCTCCTTCTCAGGCCAGCGGCCAGTGGTCTCTAGCAACACATTGCGAAAGTTATCTGGACCCATGACACCACACTCAAGTCGGATGTTTCGTTGCTTCGACTCGTTGGTTAACCAAGTCGCAAATTCCTTAACAGTATCAAATCTTTGACTACTCCACTCTTTGCGTTTCATGGCTGGAGCTGGTTCCACCACGGAATACGCTGGATAGCTTCCCTTCAGTAGTTGGAGGTTCTGAGGTGAAGAGTTCATTGGTAGCTTTAAGGTTGCAAGTTTTTCGCCTAGCACACCATCGCTTTGCTCCTCCTGCCGCTCGACATGGAACGCGACCGAAAACGACTTCCAAGCGTCCAAATGGTTGGAGTTCATGGAAGTCACAGCCCGATCGAGGAGCTCGACATCTTCAGATGACAAGCAGCACACCATATCTGGACTCAAACACGTTAGGAAACGGAGCACATACGTCGCCGTATCACGCAGTCGGGATTTCCGGAACAAGTCGTCTTGGATCCATCCAAACAGCACCAACACAGAACAGTCGCTCTTCTGAGCAATACAGTAAATACCCTGGTCTTCTGTCTTCAGATTCCTCTCGATATCGTCTGACCAGCACCCACAGCGCTCCAGCTCTAGCTCCACCGCCGCTTGCTTCCCAAACAGAGACACCACCTTGACACCGTCAGACTCGAGCTTCTCATTTGTCCCGAATATTTCCTTACGCAGAAAGAGAATGAAGTCGTCGTCGAACTCCCGTGCCTCGAGCATCTCCATCTCAAAGTCTTTCGCATTCACCGACGACAACATCCCGAGCGAGCAGCTCAGTCGCATCACCTCCAATTCTTCCAGAACGGGTTTGACCACTTCAACATCGTTTTGAACCTCTGGAACCAAACTCAACAGACGGAAACAGTCCGAGCTGATGAGCTTCTTGTTGGCACCAAGGTTGATGCGCATGTTTCACCTCGCGTCTTCTCTTCTGTCTCTCCACTTGTTGTCTCCCCGGAGTTTTGAGGAATGGCACCGAACGGGCCGATGTGAGACCTACTTGAAAACTGGGACTGCCACCGTTGACAGATTCTAACGCAGCAACGGGCTTGTGAAGCCAAAAGCGTTTGACAGTTGATGACCATGCAAAAATCTTTGAAAACCCACAAGATCAACTGGCATTGCAACATCGAATTACTTAGTGCTAAAAACTTAGTTTAGCTTGCAATAGGCTCGATTACTCTGGCGTGACAAACAGCAATCCTTGCTCGCGTACAATGTTGACATTCAAGCAGTCCATATCGATGCTTGATCCGTCTCCTGCCACCTTCCTCATTGCATACAGTTGATCCGTCGCCAACGCGTGACTGAGTCGCTGAAAAGCACTTTGGAGTTCCCTCTCCATGGTCTTCTCGAGCTCTTCTCCGAAAGGGGCTTGCTCACACGACGTCCACTTGTTAGTTAGGGAATTCTTCAAGCGATCGAGCACTTCATCGACAACTCCAATCCAATCGCTGACTATCATGACAAGCGGTGCCGAAAGCTGCTCACGAAACATCTCCGGAAGATCACTCAGACTAGAAAGATCCAACGGGGAAAAGTCCCCTACACTGGCCACGATGGATATCCCAACGGGAAGTTGCATTTTTCTCCTCTTGCCAACGCAGGGTATTCTGAAGCAAACATCGCCAACAGCTGCATCGCCTCATTAGCCGCAATTTGGTGACCACATAACGCCAAAGTACTCACACCTTGAAACAGCGGCTCAAGCTTCAACGGCAGCGTTAACACAGCCCACAAACGCCCGTTTTTCTCGATCAACTGTTCGTAGAGGCCGTCGACGCCCTTGAGTTCGTCGAGAAATGCTGTCAGAACGTCTCGGACTTCGGGTCTCGGCACAGACGCTGGATGGATTAGTGGTTGGAGTAAGTCAAGCCAGAACAGCGCTTTAGCTCCGGCCAGCAATTTTCCGCGGAGCTCGTGAAGATACAACTGCACGTGCTCCTGGCATTGCTGCTCTGCCTCCTGGCTGAGCTGCTGACAGCGTTCCGTCGCTTGGGAGACTTTTGTTCCAGGCCAACGGTGGAATTGTCGAAGTAAGGCATCACGCACTTCTTCGCTCCGTTCGTAACAATTCAGATTCAGCTTCATGGACCGATATTTCGCGACATTAAACACCCAATTGGCCAATTGTTCGGCGCTTTGGAACTGCGGTAAGTAGCTGCGCATTGGTGGTAGTATCGACTGCATCAGCATCATGGTCTTCAAATCGCTCTTGTCTTGGTAGTCGTAGCGCGGTTGCTTCAGCTTCCACACTTGCTTGGATCGGCAGGTCTCCATGATCACGTCGTCTTGATCCTCAATTGTCTTGTTTGCTTCTACAACGGTCTTGGACTTGACCCTTTTCGAGGCTCTGCCCAATGCTGAGCGTTTACGCCGCGCTGTCATGCACAACCTCGTTTTTTCGCTACTGCGACCCTCGTCCCATGTCATCAGCCACATACATCCATCAGATCCGCGATACAATGAGCGGCAGTTGGGCACTTCGAAAGAGGTAGCGATTTGCAGCATTTACATTAGGAAAAAAAAAAACTCGTTGCTTAGCATTCCAGTGGAATCGTTTTTTTTTTCTAGACTGCAAAATGGTTCATCAACTACCTGTCGTTCCTTTCCTGCAAAGTAGTGAAATATCTAACTCGCTGTCTCCAGTGGCCATCGCTTGGTTTAACACCAATGCTGTGTCTTCCACTGATTTCATCACTTTCTTGACTGGTATCAAGATATCAACCGACGTCTCTAGGCGCACGACCTTGTTACTACCTTCATCCCATTCAAACCAAAGCGAGCAAGGCAGTTGCAATCGCCGTCCTAGCAGCTTTGCTCCAACTCTTGTCAGCTTCAAGTCTTGATCGTTTTCCAACAAATGGAGGAACACACACTTGAGAGTAGTTTTGGTCACCGTCACGGCCAAGGACGCTCTTACAACGACAAGACTCGGGGCGACCTCCCTCATGTGCTCGAGTTGAAAGTGTAGCTTCTCGAAGTACGAAGAAAATCGATGCCACCGATCGATGAGAGTATCCACACCACGACACTCGCCGAGACTAAGGTTCGGTGCCATCGACGACTGGAGGAACCTGACCTTCTCTTGAACCTGACGGTCTTGAGCGAGACTGTCCTGACCAGATTCTATTCCATGACGAAAGTGGTGGAAGTACTCGACCACCACATCGAAAACAGACTGCTTGACACTAGAGAGGAGGCGGCTTCGTTCTAGCTCCAGTTGAGAAATCTCTTCGCGTAGCTTAAGTACTGTCTTATGACTCGCTTGTGCCCTTTGTTCTTTCCTGAAACGATAGCGAGCCTGGTTGATGCGGCACTGCTCTCGTCGACGCGCAATCCTTCGCATCTCCAAGAGCTTCGCGTTGACATATTCTGCATCACCAACACCAACTAGTGTACCGTTCCCGCTTAGAGGTGAGTACGACGCTAAGTTTTGAAGTGACCGTAGGTTGCTGTGGTGAATATTATTGTAATGTAAGAGCGAGTTCGAAGTGCCATCCCGAGATTCCCGGGCAGAGCTGCCTCCCTTAGGGAAACCACTTCGTGTACCAAGTGCCGGCTTAGATGGGAGAACCGACGTATCCAACCACTCATGCCGACGGACGCGCTGGAAAATTGGTCCGACAATCGAGAAACTCATGTCGATTGGCGTTGAGCTCGAAGGTCTTGTGGAAAACTCTCCGCGATTAATGACAACTGATTTCATCTGTGGTGCTCTTGATCTTGATAATTACGAAGTGGCTCACGCTTCCGGCATGGATGGAGCTTGCTGGTCAACATCTAAGATTACACATTGGTCATCACTCCTGGAGATCCAATGATTACCAATAGTGTTATCTACATCAGTATATCGAATGAGCCTTTCCACACTATACGATACAAAACTGCGTTATTAAGGTGCTAAACAGACATTTTACCTTCATTCATAAACTACGGTACTGCTACACATCTTCCGCTAATCCATATAATTAATTCAAGATTTTAAACTTAGGGGATAGGATACTAAGGTGGATGCAATATTTCGAGTGAGAATTCATACATGATTTGTAGTTGTGAGTACAAGATCTCAGTTACATGTCAAACTTGCCGATTGCACAGTCACGGGTGATAAGAGCCTGACTGAGCACGAAAGCCGCATCCGTTATGGAGCCTAACACTCGACTGATTGGCGTCAAGAAATCCACCGTCATTTCCAACCGCACCACATGACTGCTAACTTCGTCCCACTCAAAGTAGAGTGAGCAAGGCAGAAGCAGACGTCGCCCAAGTAGTTTTCTGCCCAGACTTGTAGCAGTGATCTCGCTCGCGTTTCCAGTGTCTCCGTATTCGCCGAGTAGATGAGGAAACACATTTTGCAACGAGGCTTCTGTTATTGTGACGCTCAAAGAAGCTGCAACAACAGCAAGATTCTTCACAATCTCGTCCATGTGCTCAAGTTGGAAGTGTAGATCCCGGAAGTACGACGAGTATCGCTGCCACTGCTCGACAATCGCGTCTACTCCATAGCGATCGCCAATGCTGACGTTTGGCGACAACGAATATCGAAGGAACACGAGCTGTTGCTGCGCTTCTGTGCCTTGGGCAATCTGTGTTCGATTGACTTGGCGAAGCGTCCGGAGCCCGTGACGGAAGAGGTGGAAGTACTCGACCACCAAATTGTAGACACTCTGTTTGGCACCGAAGAGGATACGGTCTCGTTGCATTTCCAGCAATGGAATCTCTTCCAGCAGCTTAACAACTGTGTCACTGAGCAGGTGAGACTTTCGATCCTGCTTGAGGCGGTAACGAGCCTGGTTAATACGGCACTGTTCGCGACGACGAGCCGTTTTCAACCGCTTGTGTATGTACTTGCCGCCGGTCTTTTCGATTATCATGGAACCGTCGGCGCCATGGGTCGTGAATACGTTATCAGGAGAGGCAGAATCGCAGTCGTAAACGGGTATAGTGCTGTTGTCGTTGTAGTGAAGGGCTGCTTGGAGGCTCTCTTTCAAGAGAGAACTGCTCGATGCCGAATCGCTACCTCGAGATGCAGGCTCTGTTGACAGGGCAGCTCTTGATGGGTACCCGTTCGTCACAAGTGCCGGGCTAGCTGGAACAGGAGCATCGTACTCGTAGATACATCTATCTTCGTCATACTCAACTTTATTAAATCTGGCTCGCTTGAACAGAGGTCCAACAATTGTCGTCGAGGTGGCTGGAGGGTGATCAATAGTTGCCTCGAAGACTCTGCGATGAATGGTGGTCGCCTCCATTGGAGCGTGTGGTTATTCCAAGTCGAATTGAAAAATGATCCTGCTCACGTGGATGCTTGTGGGCAAGACACTTGTTGCCAACTAGTCACAACAATGTGAAAAACAAGCAGGCTGTGTTCGGTACGTTGTTGTGTGCACACTTACAGCTGGCTCTCAGGTGATGTTGATGCTTGTTTTTGAGAGTTTGAATGGATAATCGTTGCTCGCTAAGACCTCGCAATCAAAGAGCTCACGGTTACAGCGCGAACTTTTCCGGGGCAAGGAGCTCTAACTCCGTCCTTAGCCAATATGATATGACAAATTGGTGGTGCAATGATAAACCAAGTGGCAACGACGAGTAGCGCAATCACATATGCAAAAAGGATAGGCCAATCGCGCGATCAAAAATGCCTGAAGCTAATGGCCAGCAAGTTAAAGGTGAAATTCAAAGTACTGTTATTTGGTGCATGTGTACTGGATAACACATGTTGAGGTTATCATTGCTTACCGTGAATTGCAATGAAAGGTCTTGATCTGACTGCAAATTGTACCTCCGTCATATTCTTATAAAGCAAAGCTCAACCAAGAGTATAGTGACCAAGCACGCTTACCTGTACAAAACCTACATGCATGTAGAACTCTAATGATAATAATACCGTGATCGTCGACGAAAGGCTTCTGACTCACTCATCATCAATGCTCGCGATAGCACTACAGTTCGTGGCTATGAGTAATCCGACTCCACCCAACGTGGTTGAAGCGAAGGCTCAATTCACCAAAAACATTTTGTGTTTATCAGGCAGCTTTTGCTTCAGATAAAATAGATTATCTACTCTCTTGTATAACTCCGTCGCCTACGTTGAGACACTACACGCTTGCACCAAGTGACAACAGACGAGTGCAGTCGCATTTTTAGATTATTTTTCGATCGCCTAGCGCTGACATTGATGAGCCAGATGATCTAGATGAGTAGCGCGATCAAGAATGTTCTGTCATATGGAAATCGCGCGATCATTGTTGTGATCATTAATCAAGAAACAAAGAAACGGCGCCACGTCATTTTAATAATAATAAACTATTAAAACCAACGGGTAGGACGGAACAGTGACAGAATTCACCTTGTCGAAGTCAGCAGATATTGGAATGGAGGGGAACTTCTTGACGCCAACCAGATGAGTGTTAGGCCACCTATCAGACGCAACATTCGTGGCTCGTATACTGTGCAATCGGCTTGTGAATTGAGATCCCACGCACATCTTTCCAATGTATTCACGAGGCAAATAGTAATGTCCTTGCGTGCATGCTGCCTCGGTAGCCATTCGTTAGTAAACATACCAAATTACTAGGTATTCATTACCCTGCAAACAACGATGGGGGAGCGCTGTCAACATGGCCGAGTGTTTGTACTGGCACCTCACCACGCGTTCAAGGTGATGCTCCCATTGAAGATGTAGAAATATTAGGCCAATCGCGCAATCCACGATGCCTGAAGCTAATGATTAGCACGCGACGCATGAAGAAGAATGGTTTGGGCCCTCGTTGCTGATAAGCGCCCAGTCAGCATCTCTCTATTCACGGGCTTGCGCAAAACGCTTTGATATCGATTTACGTACGATTAATGACACTAGAGGAAGCCTAACATATACTAACAACTTCGAAGTACATCGCTTTGAGTAATTCGAAATGTGGCTGTACTCCTCTTTCTCTGTAAGGTCTTACAACAACGGTGCTCTTCAAAACTTCCTCCGGATCGGATAGATGAAAGAAACTCGGCCATTGCGCCCAGAATCTTCCAAAACCCAACAAATTGTCGAGGGAGTTTTAAAATACTACGTAGTTGACATAGTGACATCATCACGAGACAGTAATCAAGAACTCGTACAAGCTGATGCGGCACTGTGATGACCAATGCTGACAAATTCAGAAGACTTCAATCTATTAGCACAGTTCTGCTCGTCATGGTTGTGGTTTCACCTCGGAACTGACTCGCGATGAATATTATAACCTCGAGGCTGCTGTATGGTGTTGGCATAAAAAATCTGCGCTTGTGATGATGACGCAAGACACCTTGTTTTTCAAATGACTAGAATAACTCCACGACAGTTTGGATACCAGCGATTGAAGCCTACTGCCAGTGCACCGACATTCACCCCGTGGGTACCAAGTGCCAAGTGCCAAGTCACTAGGCAAATGGAAGGCAATACCATGCAGAATTGGCAAAGGTACCATGATCGCGCTGGGGTCGTATGAGTGTTTCAACAGGGAACGATGTCCTGATCGGAGCGCAAGCATGGAGCTTAAGTTGACCGTCAACTACAGCAACAAGGGCAATTTTTGCCGGTAGAGATTCTTCGCTTTTAAGACTCATCCTTGTTTGAGTTGACGCACGTACAGTAGTTCTGACAGCCTGACGCGCAGGACCATATCGCGGAATTCTTGACGACGCATACGTCGCTAATGTCGCCGATAGTCACGTGACCATTATTGCTGCGAGCTCTGCTCTTTCATCCGCACCTGCACCGCGGCAAAGAGCTACAGCAGCAAAGCTCAGGTAGCGTACGCTCCTGACAACCCGGTTTACTCTGCAGCGTGCACGAACACAGCGTCGCCGTGTTCAGGTCTCGTCATTCGTAGCGTTTCTACCCAAAATGCAGAGAAAGGGACACCGAAACTCATCACGCCTTCGATACAGCTCTGTTCGTCGTGGGCATCGGGCTCTGCTTGCTGCGTCGACATGTGAGCAAAGTGTGTTGGCGCACAGCATATTGTCACCAGCAGCATGTGCTCATTCAATATGCTCATTCAAGGAGGCCGGAGCAAGTCGGCGCGGCTTCTGAAGCGGTGGCGATTGGTTTTCGTTTCGTCGGACGGCAGGAACCCACTGCAGACGAAGGCGACGTCGACAGGTCAAGCGTCGATCCTCAGATTTGCTTGAAGCGCCTCACACTTGGTTTTTGTATGCTTGCTGAAGTTAAATGCGCAAACTTTCCCGATGCCAGAAGCCGTGTGCGAAAACAGACAAACAGCTGTTGATTAGACTCGTGTGTTGCCGCGAACACGCCGAATCCCGAATCTGGGTAGATTTGCCAACCAAGCCATGTCTTGAAGAATCCTGTGGCAGGAGACAAGACCTGCCGCAGGATCATTTGGAGGAGAAAGTTTTCGTAGACTTGCTCAACGGTACTGATACTGTGTCTTACTGTGTAAGTGCATAGTACTAACGGTACGGTAATTAACTTACCATTAGCGCGATTTTGTAAAGTATCGGTAGTCTTAAGAGTAATTGGTACATTTGTCTCTTGCTTTGACAGTGGAGCGGACCTTAAAGCTGGAGAACGCCAGGCGTCGCTGAAGCCGACAATTCCCAGTGTACTGTAGAGCGACGAACTCAAAAACAAGTGCATAAAGTGTAAGCGGCGCTGCTACAGGACTTGTAGACGAGCTCGCCGCCTCCGTCATCCTTGAATCATACCAAAACAGCCACGGGTAGCGCTAATCAACATGATTAGCGCTTAAGTGGTTTACTTTTAGAGCGCCTTCATGAGTCACTGAGCTCGCACCAAGCAACTTGCACCTTCACCAACACTCATCTAACCATCGTAGTTTGCTGTGATACTGTCCGCTACGTCTGTTAGCCCTCAGCGTGCGAAGCGCGGCTTCACCCTTTCCATTATGTGTAGTTTCAAGGAAAGTAGTGCTTACAAGCACACGGTTTGCGCACTAATCGAATTCCCTTTTATGTTCCCGCTCATCTACAGGCGCATCCGGCTCCTGCCCGATCCTCCCGTCCATACTGGGGGCAAGTGATTTATGGACCAAAGAAAGTTTCTTTTCCCGAACGCCGACCTGTATACGAGTGCATACTCAGTTCAAGTCAAATCTCCCCGTCGCGACACACTCATCTTCCTCGCGCCAGCAGCTCCTCTCTGAGCTTGGCCATCATTTGCCAACCCGTACACTCGTCGACAAAGGTCGCTTCCTGTCCGAGCTGAGACCAAGAGTCCGCTAGCCATGCGCACGAAGCAGTCGGCCGAGTTCGAGAAGCAGGAGAGCACGTGGATCTACCTGCTGCACCAGCAAGCGCCGCCACAGACGTGTCTGTCAGCCGAAGCCTCTCTCTCACTACCCCCCATTATCGATACCGCACCCGGCTCCAATGACAGCGCGCTCTTCGGCGAGTCGTCGACCCCCACGCGCGGGCTATTGCTGCCTCCGCCAGCGGCCAACTCCACCGCTATGATGCTTTCAAGCCAGGACAAAGTGCAGCAAAACAGCCTATTGACGCTATCACTCCCCCGTTTGAGTGACCTCGGAACAGCTAAATCGGCATCGCCGCATCACAGCAGCAACAAGCGTGCATGTTTCCCCAAGAAGTGCGACTTTCCCATGTGCAAGAATAGCTCGCGCAGCCGCGGATTTTGCTACAGCCACGGCGGAGGGCGTCGGTGCCGTGTGGATGGCTGCAACAATGGCGCCGTGAGTCGCGACTTGTGCAAACGTCACGGAGGCGGCCGACGTTGTCGCATTGCCGGCTGCAAGAGCAGCTCTGAGAGTGGCGGTCTATGCTACAGTCACGGCGGAGGTCGTCGCTGCAGTCTCTCGTGGTGCTCGGCGCGGGCCAAGAAGGGCGGATTCTGCGCCCTTCACCTCACTGGCGACCGCACGCCTCCAGCCACTTCAACTTCAGAGTGTTCGTCAGACCCGAACGTCGTCGAGACGCTCTTGTCGCTTGCCAAAGACCAGGGAAACGTCAAGTTGGAGCAGACGCAGGAGACGACGACGTCCTCAAGCAGCAGCGGCAAGAGCGCGTACGCCATCGCGTCGCTGCTCAACTGAGCGTCCAGTAACGGGAGGTCAGGGCCAGCAAACGGCGGACAAGCTCGATCTCTTTGCCATATTTAAGTGCATTCGCCTCCCCTTTGTTGTTATTAACCGATGAAACTAAGCAACACAATGGAAATTCACTGTATAGTTTTTCTCTATGGGACTACGTAGCCCCGTCTACTACTTCAGGACGTGTCCAGCTTGTCTCGCCTGTGCTGCGGTTGTAGAAGTAGACGACGCCAGACTCGTCGGCCACTTCCTCCCAAGGATCCTCAGCCTCCGTCCTTGCAGCTTCAGCCTCCGGTAGTTTATCAACCAGCAGCTCAAGTAGGATATCGTCCACCTGCATCTCCAGTGGAGGACCATCAGCAGCCGCAACGACCTCTTGAGTCATGCGGTTGTAATAACAAACCTCGCCCGATCCAGCGTCGTAGACCTCACTCCAGCAGGAAGACGCCATTGTCCATTTACGTGGCTTTCGACCTTCACGCTTGGCTATCACATTCCAATGGTGCCATTTAGTGGCCTCGTGGGTACGAAGTTCGCCTTCTTTGGCAAAACTCAAACCTGGGCAAGACCGACAGAAGAACGCGAGTCGAGGTGGCGCTGGGTAGTGAGCTCGCTTGGGTTTCGGTGTGTCTTCACTCGTATCCGCTTCATCCTCACTGCTCGAAGCCTCAGGAACGAGCTGCACAGTCTCCACTTCACCTTCTCGCTCAGGCAGAACGATCACGATCACATCTTCCAGAAGACCAAGCAGAGTACGCAGCTTCTTGACTCCGTAAGTAGCAGGCACAATGGACTTGTGCATCGACTTCTCAAACGCTGCAGGGAACTCACTCAGCGGCACTTTACCGGATTCGCCGCCGTCATAGCGACTCACAACCTTGTGAACTTCCAGCTTGAGGATGTTGAACTCCTGAGCCAGCGCTGAATCGGACAGGATCCGCTCCAATACAGCCTCTTTCGGTTCATGGCCACTTAAACCCTCCGCTGTATCCGGTACTGACGTATCCTCAGGCTTGCCACTATCACCGTCGAGTTCGACAGACTTGAGACCAGTTCGTGGTCGTGTAATGTTCTGCTTGGTCATCGGTTCACTCTCAGCACGATCGAGTGCGTCGAGGTCGTCCAGTATCTTCCGCAGTCTCCCTCGAGTCTCCTGCATCGTCGTCATAGTCGTCTTTGCAGCTTCAAACTTCCTACGAGCCTCTTCAGCAGCTTGAATGGCTTGTTGCTCAGTAGCTCGTTCTGTGACCAGTTCTCCACGCATTCGGAGCAGGATCAGACGTCGTACGTTGACTCGCTGGACGGTAGGAGCGATCTCAGCGGCCTTGGAGGCATATTGACATGCTGCACGTACCCAGACGCACGTAGCTGCTAGAGCTGGCGATACACTGTGCAGTTGGAAGTTACCAGGACGAAGACGTGGATGGTGGATCACATTGGTCAGCGAGAGCAGTCGAGTCCTTCGAATCCCCTCGGCGAACGAGTACACATCGAACAGCGGCAAGACATACAGCGCCTTGACCGCGTATCTGTGGATTAAACCCTCTCGATCGCCCAAAATGACGTTTTCATCGCTATTCGACAACAAACGCAAGACATCTTGACGAGACGGGAACTCTGGCAAGTCAGGAGGCTTTAAAGCAGATTTATCACCCAACTTAAGCTTCTCCATCTCGTATTTCGCCAGCTTCTCGCGTTTCTCCTTCTCCTCTAGTTCCAATTGGAAGTTAGACGTGAAGTTGAGCAGCACGCAGAAGGCTTTCAACAACGACATGAAGGTATCGTCCAGTTTGGCCGAGCGCAGTCTGTACCAGTCCATTGGTTCCAGTTCGTGCAGACCATCGACCGCTTCTCGGTATTTCCGCTCGAGCTGCTTTCGATCTTGTTTCCAGAATTGCTCCACTTTGACCTGCATGGATTCCTCCTGAGCTTCAACTTCGCTCAATTCGGCAGTCAGACTGGCAACGCGCACTTTGGCTTCTCTCATGGCTCGAGCACTGACTTCCTGCTCGTTACGCAGCTTCTCCAGTTCCGGTTCGTGTTTTTCGATCGCTTTGACGATATCTGCATGTTCAGTCGCCGTTTTCTCGAGCATATCAGCGCCTACCATCACGTTTTGAGTCTTTGCGAGTAAGTGAACGACTGCCTTGACGAAGGCATCGTCGGGATCTACACCTTCGGGTAAGGTAGGCAACTGCCTCGCTATCATCACAGCATACGGAGTCCGGAACTTGTTGGGCAACAGATCGAGTTCTAGTTCGCCAGTCCCGTTTTCGCGATGCAGAACGCCAAAGTACTGCACAAACGTAGCGGTCGCTAGCTGAGAGCTGGGTTTACTCAGCCACGCCTTGTGTTCGCCATGTTCCCAGCGACCAAGACGCTCCAAAGGTTCACTCTTCCCACTCGATGTGCCTTCGTTTCCAGCGCTTCGAGTGATGAACATCCCTTCGCCATGCATCTCATCGTCTTCGAACGGACCTTCGTATCTGTCTCCATTCGGGAACACGAGAATGCCGTGACCGTGTCTTCGTGTACGTCGCATTGCTCCTGCGTAATGGCGGCCGTCAGCGAACTCCACAGCTCCGGGGCCATCAAGGAATCCGTCGCAGAATTCTCCAGATATGTGGTCTCCATTCGCCAGAGTGCGAACGCCATGTCCATGCCAGAGACCACGACGGAATGATCCGTCGTAACGGGAACCATCGGAGAGTACCAGCTCACCAGGTCCATTGTGCCGGTCGTACGCCCAGTAGCCTTCGTACAGCTCTCCGTTCTCCATCCGTTCGATGCCGTAGCCGTGACGTTGACCATCTTTCCACTCACCGACGTACTCGCCTCGAGCGAAGACCATTCGGATGTGTAGGATGCCTAGGCCATGGAACTTACCACGACGGACTGTGCCTTCGTAGATGTGAGTGGCAGGACACGATGTCACGCGGAAATTTGCGCCACTGGCTGTGAATGGCGAGAAGAAGTTGTCGACCCCCTCACCTTCCCAAATGGTGCCGTCTCGACACGTGAACTTCCCCCAGTGTTTGTGTGCTGGCTTGCGAGTTTTACGCGGTGGATCAGGAGGAGCTCCAGCACTGGAGAGAAAAGGCTTTAAGCCACTGGCGCTGGCATCTTCGACCCACGGGCCTTCGTAGACGGAGCCATCGTTGTACTCGATAACCACGTGGCCTTGAATTCGCCCGTCTCGGAATGAGCACTCCAAACGCACGTACGTATGAGGCAGTTCACGAAGTTTCGGCTTCTCGCTTCGTGTTCGTCGTCGAGGCTTCGGCTTTGCAACCGGTTCGCTAGTCTCATTATCGATAAGTACGGTAATATCAGGTGCAAATGTGCTCTCGATCGCCGCTGTGTTTGCAGCTTTTAGCTCTGAAGTTGCTTGTCCCGGTGCCGTCGTGTTGGTATCAGCCGTAGACTGAGTAGCGCCTTCAACAGGAGCTCCGTTTGACTGCTTGCCAACGTCGTCGCGAAGGTATTCAGCGTCTGTGGCTTTGCCGTGTAAGAAGCGTTCGTGCAGTGCGAGGTCGTGGTTCGAGATGTGGAGCGAGTGCAGCGGCATCTTCAGTTCCTCACCAGCCGCCGCTGCCTCTGCTGCCTCTCGAGCGGCTTTAGCATTGGCCAACGCCAACTCCATTCGAGTCATGGCGCTCTTAGACATCACATCCTTTTCAGCGCGCTCTCGACGATGCACAATACGAGCCTGTTCCTGCCGTAGTTTCCCCAGTAGGAAGGACTCGTCGCCTTCATCGCGTTGCTGTCGCAACTTCTGGCGCTCTGCCACATGCAACAACTGCAGACGCCTCAGTTCTTCTTGGAGAGCTTCAAGCTGCTTCTTCCGTGCTGTTATCATGGCGTCCCAGGCATTCAGCATCTCCACTTGATGGTCCATACGTTCCAACAGTTTGCGTAAATCTTCCTGGTACTGTTCAAGAAGAACGCGGTGGCTGTCAAGGACATCGGATCCCCGTTTGTGAGTCTCCTGTACTAGAGCACGCATTCGCAACGTCTTAATGAGTTGGTGTGTGAACGGTACGAAGGCTTTCTCGATGGCTCCCAAGCGCTCCAATTCCTTCTCCATCATTGCGATCCGTTCTTCGGACGACGCGATCAATGCTGTCAACTTGTCCTGAACCTGAGCCAGTGAAGCCTCCGCCTTCTTCCGCTCGCGTTTGAGCGACTGCTTCTGCCATTCTTCACCCCCACTGGCTTTGATGCGCTTGGTTTTAAGAGCGATATAGTCCTGCAATTCGCCTTCTTCGTGACGCAAAACATCAAGCTGCGTGTTCGTCTCGACTCTGAAAGCCTCCAGATCCTGTTCTAACAAGCGAATGGCGTCCAACACGACATTACGTCGACCTACATTCACCTCGGGAGACTCAAAATCCACACCATAAAGTGGAGACGGAGTCTCCAGTCGATTCTCCCGGTCACGTCGCTCCATCATTTCGCGCTTTACCAAGTTTTTCTCCTGGAAATTTCGACCTCGAGCCATCCAGACGTTCACTGCGTCCTGGAATTTGCCTTCCAAGTAAACTTCTTCCTCGATCTGGGCTTGTTCTCTATCGGCGCGCTCGTATTCATCTCTCGGTGGGGTTCTTGCTAATTGCGATTGATGAGTCACTGGAGCTCGTCCAGGCACCATGTGCCGTCGAGCTTTACGGAAGCAGTACTGTCTTGAGAGCTGGAATATCTCGACGAAGAACGCACTAGCCTTCTCTTCAGGCGTGAGACGGTTCACTGTGGAGTTCCAAAGATGATAACGTAGTGCTCGCTCTGACGCGCAGACGTGAGCACAAGACCGAAAGGGACAGATGAGCGGAACTGCGTGCGTCCGGCAGATGTGCTCGCTCACTTCTTCCATTGAGCGGAATCCGGAGGTCTGGCACACGGTACAAGTCAATCTGACTCGAAGTTGCTGGGCTGCAGTGTCCTCTAGACTCATGGCTGTGGTTTCTCGAGCTTCGAGTGGTGTGGTGTCAATAGGTGGTCGCTTGAGTCGCACTGCGGTTAGAAAACTCACCTCCGTCAGCTCTTCCGGTAGTTCCATGTACATACTGGCAAGACCCACACCCTGGACGTTCTGAGCTGCAATACGGACGCGCATTGATTGTTCGCACTCGGGAAGGATCGGCCACAATGTGGTTCTCGTTGGTGCTGAAGGCGTGGAGTTAAACTCGCTTATGTCTTCGGTTTGTGGAGTTTCAATATCAACTTGTGAGGCACGCTGACAGTCTATTGAGCTGCTGCTATTCGATACAATTGCTTTGCCTGCGAGAGCTTCTTTGCCACTCTCGTCTTTCCATTCGACAATGTACTGGGTTATTGCAGCACCATTGTCCAGTGGAGCCTCCCAAAGCACATCCGCAGCTTTCCCTGCTCGCCATTTGCGGAACGGTATGGCATCTGAGGCCGCTTTCTGCTTGGCAGCCATATTGAGCTCAGCGATTGTGAGTTTGCTGTGATCCTGCGGATTCTCCTCCGTCTCGATCGTTTCTATAAGTTTAATGGTCTCGCGTTTGCCGTCCTCCGTGTACAACATCTGTGCAGTGCAAGTATAGTACGGATCCACAGCCTCCACTTGAGCTTCATACCAGTTCTCGTCGTCCAGTTCCACCTCGATAAAGCAGCCAACACACAGGAATTCCAGTGCAGATTTCTGCGTGGCCACAATCTCCACGTCCACAACAGCTTCTGGCTTTTGCTGTTGCAGTATATGAAGTGCTCGGCCTTGTGCGATGAGCGCAGTGCGCTCTCTATCGGCCTGTGCATTGGCTCGAGCTTCTTCTTGCAACAGTCGAACTTCGTCACGATCTCTCCAAGCAACTTCACGTTCGAACCGAGCCAGGAAGGCGATGGTCTTCTCCTCTAAAGTACTGATCTCTGTATGTCTCTTAGCGAATCCTCGAGGACCTTCGCGCGAGCGCTCTGTGTTCCAAACACCCTGACGTTCCAATACCTGCGCCTCCAGTCTCTCTTCTCGTTCTTGAGCTTTAAGCGCCTTGACGATTTGTAGACTCTTATAACGAGCTTCGATCGAGTTGCGCTCCAGCCAGTTCCCCTTAGTGGTTACTCCAGCAATTGTAGCGGCTGCAGCACTCCCTGCTGCCTTGCCAGCATGAACTTGACCGGTCAAGAAATGCGCTACACCCCAACCATGAGGCACGATAGCAGTACGGAACTTCTGAGGCTCATTGTCCTCTTTACTCTCCCACACAGCTACTTGACGCTCTTGGAAGACTCCGTGGACTAAGGCCCAACCTTCAGAAGCACAGAACGAGCAGTTAACCAGTTGAGAGAAGAAATGTTCCTTAGCTTTGGCGTGTTCCTCCTCGAAGCTCTTAGCAAACTCCGCACCGCCGATAAACGCTGCGAGTTCAGCTTGCCCACGCTTCGCTAGTCGCTTGGCTATTGACACAGTTGTCGCGTGCTGTACTAAGCGTAAAGGATAAAGCAGCAGTCGATCGATGAAGCGCGTGTACGGCGCTGGTAGCACTACTGGACCATTCCTATCGTTGACCAGTGCGCCTTTATATTCTAACGGTGTGAGTCTCATCAGCACTTGTTCCAGTTCACGACGTCGAGCTACAGACCTCTGCACGCGGTTGATGATCTTGTGGATGGCTAGTGGTTTATCTGGAAGACCAGGCGGGACGTCCATGGGTCGTACAAGCTGCAGCATTACTAACATTCGAGCTACTCGTGTATTAGCACAGCGTAGTGTCTTGAGCACTCGTAGTAGCGCTTGTTGGCGTCTGGCAGCGTTTATACCTTGGAGCTCCAGTTCTCGTTGATACTGCATACGAGCAAAGTAGACTCGAGCCATACACTGAATCACTCGAGCTGCACAGTAGCGCTTGGACTCATCCGCGATAGACGCAGCGTACGCTTCGAGTTCTTGACGCCATTTAACGCTGATCTTGTCATCAGACCCAGTGACGCTAATGGAGCAAGCAGCAGAGAATGCCAACTCCGGTACACGGTGTAGAACGCGCTTAGCAGGCTCCAGTTTGGTGGACGGGATGATCAACGGGAAGAACTCGAGCTCTCCGTCCAGATCCATCTTCACTTGAGCTACGCCATCAGCCACACTCAACACGAACGCCGTCTCGCCACAGCGTGGATGACCAGGTAACACGACGCGAACGGCACCGCCACGGTCTACGCGCTCTTCATCGCGTCGCTTTTCGTCCGCCGCACTGGTTACCAGCTGCTCAAAGTCGCCGAGATATCGCTGCGCAGCCTGCGACTTGCTCTTCAATCGCATCCGGTTGAACGTTCGAGGCTTCTCTACTGGAACTACAGTGTGTGATTCGAGCTGTTTAGCAGCGTTGGCGTCCACTTTCTTCTTCACGACTTGAAAAAACGCTCGCAACTCGTCAAAATCCTCTCGAACTTCTCGAAAAACCGAGCGAATGTCTGTGAGAAAAGTAGCAGGATCAAGACCAAAGAACGACAGAAAACAACGCAGTCCACGCTGCGTCGGACGCGTCGGAGCGCCCAGAGTACGCAGCATTTTCCCTTCCACTGCACGTCGCGTCAACACCTCCATACGCGTGATATAACTCCTTCGTAAAGCAGCAGTGCGTCTGCGTGCAATGCGACCACGATACAAGGCTTGTAAGAGTGAAGCACAGCGGATCTGGACCAGCAATTCCTTCTGTGAAGCGAACCATTGACGCTTCAAGTACCCGCGGATATGACGCTGAATTGTGATAGCCGCCAGGTTCTTAACGCGTTCTAAACGCTCCCGTTCCAGTTGTCTCCGTCGTGCTTGGACTCGCACCAGCTCTTGCATTTCTGCCTCTTGCTGCTTGCGAAGAATAAACCTAGCACGTCTGACCTCTTCAAATAAATGTCTGGCTGCTACGCCACGCCACCGACGCTGTAGTATAATAACCATCCGCAGTTCACGCTCTACTTGGCGCATATGGTTCTCCTCAATCGCCATGGCTTCTCTCTCACGCTCTGCTCGCAGATATTCACGTAGTCGCGCCTTCCTCGTCGCTGCAAGTAGCAGAGCTTTACCCAGTCTCCCCCGCCAGGCGTTCTGGATCATTACAGTGGCCCAAACCATGTACAAGTAGTGGTTCTCCACGTGCCTCCTACCTAACACACCTCGCCAATAAGCCTGCAGCCTTGTTGCCATTCGACGAGCATGTTGCAGCTCTCGAATCTGAGTAATCCAGACTGTAAATGTGAAGGTTAACTGTACGTTCGCTATCATTGCTCGCACCCGCTTTCGACAGTATTTCGCGTACTCTGTATGTGCCGCCCAAGCCGCGAAGACGCGAACTTGAGTGCCGTTCATGAAGAACGCCAGTGCTCGACGCTGTCGATTGCGCATCTCGATCTGTTCCTGAGTGAACTCGTACCACGTGCTCACAGCTTTGGCTACATTCATCATCTTTAATCGAGCTGCTACACGACCAGAAACAGCTCGAAGTGCCATCAGATCCTCGTGGTATTTATGCCAACGCAGCCAACATTTCGTCATGATATTGCTCGAGAATTTCGCGAATGCTCTTCGCTTGGCTAGCTGTTCTCGGATGAATTCTATCCAGGCGTTCCAGACCAGTAGCTTGTCTCGATGGAAGATTTTGCCTGCTAGTCGACGGTATTTATCACGTAGTTGACGTTCACGCTGTGCATTTTGGCGCCACTGACGAAAAGCCCAGTGAGTTAAGCTCTGCACATGACCAAAAAGTGAGAATAAGCACTAGAAATATTGGCACACAAGCCAGAATGCTGCGTACCCCACAGACGATGGACATGGTCGCCTTGAGCAGGAAGAGCTTCTGATCTCGCACAAACTCGAGCCACAGACGCCACACCAACCGCTTCGCCACCAGATTTGCTCGAATCTGTACGCAAAAAGCGTTAGAAAAAGTAGGTGATCTAAGGTGCTAGAACTACTAAAATCTTACTCTGCCTTCAAGCTGCAGCGTCGAATTATGAGTCTCTAGTGAGACTGTGTTTAAAAACACTTTGACAACTAATTGTCGTCGCCATTTCTCCTGTGCTGTAAGTGTACGCCAGGCTTCAATGACACGGGGCAACGACTGGCATTTCCAGAACACTAGCGCTTTCTTAGCGTGACTTCGTTTATGCTGAACGAACTGCTTCCATGCACCGAAAAAGGCTGGAAGTTTGTGCTGTCCCCAGAAGTTGAGTGCCTTTGCTGCTTTTAACGCAGCTAGAACACATTTTTCTTCACGTTTCCTCTCCAGATACAGTGACTTCCACGCTGTAAAGACCTTGAGCTCGGAGCGATTCGTCCAGTAACTTTGAGCTCGTCGTACTCGTCGATCATGTCGTCGCTTGCGCCATCGATACTGGATCAATATCACTGCCTTGATAACCTTCCGTCTTGTGATTCCGTACTTCATTCGACACCGATAACCTCGGAAAACTCGCTGGATGTCCAGCGCCGCGCAGAATTGTTCCCATTCGCGATCAGCCTGCTCACTCTGTTTCCCACGAGCTCGCTGTCGGACTCTGAAGCGTGCTTGGAGTACGCCCGCTAACTCGACGCTTTTGGCGGAATATCCAAACAATTTCTCTCGTCTTCGAGCTTTCATTGCTGCATCAGGATCAGAAGCTGCTAAGCCTTTGAACTTCTCCTCATTATCGATGATCACTTCAAGACCGTAGGGATTCTCTGGACGGCCGCGAAGTAGCTTGTGTAGGTCGGATATTTGGATCAGGGGACATTGAAATACGTTGAGGTGACGCAAGAAGCGGCACTTGTTCCAGATCACAGCTAGTCCAAAAGGATCGATGTCTTCACTGTGAGAAAGTTCCAGCACTTCGAGGTTACGCAGTTGGTCACTAAGAGTACGACAACATGCTTCGTCTAGCTTGTGGCGGTGAAGCTCGAAGTGGGTGATACTTCCTGGTAGACTCTGCAACCCGCGGCTGGATAGCTTGGAACAACCTGAAAGGTAGAGTTCTTCTAATGACTGCATCACTATCACAGGGTAGATAGCGAGATCGTCGACATCTATGCAGTCTCGGAGGTCAAGCAATCGCAAAACCTTGTTGTAACTTGCAAGATGAGTCAGCATGGCTCTGGATACTTCGCATTGACCGGCGAGACGTAGCTCAGACACTGATCGAGCAGCTTTTACTAGTCTGACGAGGATAGAGGACGGAATCGTACCAACTCTGGAGAGATCGAGAGATGCCAGTGACTTGGAACACATACCGATCACTGCGAGTATCGCTTTTTCTCCGACGTTGTGGTTGTTCGACAGGATCAACTGTTTGAGTGGCTTGAAGTTTTTTGAGACTGGAGCATCCGATGGTCTGGTGGTGTTTGCATTGATGCCGTCAGTTCGGAAAAACTTGTCAAAACCTGAATCTGTGAAGCCCGCACAGTCAGAAAGGTCGAGCTCTTCGAGCTTCAATAGTCCAGCTAAAGCCATCAGTCCTTTGTCAGTGAGACCGACACAACCAGAAGCCTTGAAGCATTGAAGTAGTGGACAAACTGCAGCGATCCAGGAACAACTCAAATTGGTCAACGATGTACACCCAGAAACATCCAGTTTAACCAGTTTGGGGTATGTGCTGACTGCTCGATTCCCGAAGAAACTGGGCACGGAGCAAAGACACTCGAAGGATTCATCAGTGATGTCTACGCAGTAGCTCACATTCAGCTCTTCCAGTAGTCGAGGCTGGTTCGAGAACAGCTCCTTGATACTGGAGTCAGTGACTCTGCGACAGTGACGGACAGAGATCGTCTTCAGGTTTGCTCTCCGCGTCTTGATCAATGGTATCAGCGCAGCGTCGGAGATGAAGATGCAGTGATCGAGACGGAGTCTTTCTAAATGTTTTGTCTTCTTCAGCAGTTGCAACACACCCGAGTTGGTCACGTGTTCACACCCGTTTAGGTTTAAGCTGGACAATCTCGTAAAAGCTTCTGCTACCGCTCCAACGAGATCGTCCGTGACAGAATCACTGTCAGCCAAAGACAAGTCATTCAATGATGGACATTTGCGTGCTATGGCGTGAAAAGCAGCTTTCTACAAGAAAATGCAGCTCATTCAGTCAGTGAACGGCTCAAATTAGTCCATTATCTACACGATATGTAGGAAAACTTACCGGTATGTTCTCGAATTTGGTCAATACGAGACGCTGTAACTTTGGGCAGTTCTCAAGCAGTAACGTGAAATCTACGAATAGCCCACAAATTAGTACTTAAAAACAAGAAAATAGTCTTCTAGCTATATCAAATGCGCACCTTTTGCTCGTGTGAGTGTCACCAGACCACTAAGATCCAGATCTTTGCATCGTTGAGAGAGCTTCGAGGATATTTGAGTGATTACTGGGCTATCTTCAGTACAAAACGGGGCCCAGTCACTCAGACCAACTGTCGCTAGTGGCTCATGCGAATTCTGTTCGTAGAAAATCTGGTCTGGCAATATGATACTGTCGTTGGTATTCGCACTTCGACCGGAGTTCTGGTTATCTTGCTTAGGCGATCCAAGCGTAGCTTCTGTACCACAAGACTTCCTGATAAGCAAAACAACAACCAGTTAGGCTCATACGAGGCTTTATAACTCGCTAATCTAAACGTACCCTTTGCAATCTGCCAATAACTGGTCCAAAACAGCTTTGTCTTTGTGTGTCGGGTTCATGATCGGGGGCAATGAGGCAGCAGCTTCCCGAGCCAAATTGTCCTTAATCGTCGCATCTACATGACGTATAGTCTTCCGTGGAGGACTCTCAATGGACGACCGCGGACGTCTTGAAGCTCTAGTGTTGGTCTCCTCAACCGGGAAAATTGGCGGGTAAGCTAGCACGCGGTTGTCTCGAAACATGAGTAAATCATCATCTTGAACGCGTTTTGCGGCTCCTGCACCGGGTACTGCGGGATTGTCGACTGGAGCTTTGAGCCAAGACTCGAATTGCGATAATTCCTTGCCACGTAGAGGTGAAACGCTGGCTGAACTCACTGATCGCTTCTTGCGAATGGAATTTCTTTGGATTTGTTCTTCATCGTTGTATAATTTATCAGAGACTTCGTGACGTGATAACTTGTTTACACTTTGTCGTGGGGCATGTGGAGTGGAGAATTGTTTGCCTTTCTTCTTGACGGGACGATCATTAAGCACATGCAGGTCGAGTGCGTGGCGCTTGGTCATTATCAAGTTAACCGAGCAAACGCTAGCGTCTCTTCATGACTTTTCTCAATAAAAATTTCAAAACCTCAGATCGCCACGTTCAAATTCATTTTTCGGAAGCTTAATGCAAAACTCAACTAGGCATAGACCAAAAACGCACGAAGGTAGCAAAAGTGACGCAGATGTTCACCCGTCGTTTCCATCGCCGCAACATTTACTTGTTTAGCGAAAGAGAAGGCTAACATCCCAACCTCCACACGTAACATTACCCGAATTCTCGGCATCAGTAGCATCTCGATCTTCCTTCATCGGACAGCTGAGCGTCCAGTGCTGTCCAAGTGCTCCACAATTGCGACAAACCACGGGCCCACACTGGACGCGAGGCCGTTCAAGTGCCGGTCTGTCCCGTGTCGACTTAAACACCTTCACATTCATTGAAGTTTCCTCCACGTGACAGTACACTCTTCCATTCCTACTTTCTGGAGTAATCGTCACTTGACGTGCCGCCTTACGACAACTCCACTGCTTCAGTAGCTCCCGGAATTCCTTCGCGATCACTTGGTCACGGTCGAGTGCGTGCGATCTGTCATTACTCTTTGATTCTTCAGGAGCCTCAAGCATCATCGCGAACACCCGCTCAATGGTATCGCACCAAACCGTCTTAACGTCTTGCCCCAACAGACGAAGAAGTTGTTGCATTTCGTGCTTGTTACGCAGCGGAAGGGACAAGGTAAACTTGGTCGGTGCGTCCATTCTGGTCCACAATTCGTCATCTTGCTCAAGCTCCTCAACGAATCCTCGGAGCGTCTGCACAGCCGCGTAGCGCTTGCCAGGCTTGGCTTGAGCGTTGACAGAAAACAGCGCGCCCGTGATCGATGCGAATTGAGTTCGTAACGTAGAAATCTTTTCACTTAACTCGTCTTTGCGGTGTTCATACATCGTCTTTGTGCTGTCTTCACGACTTTCGTCGAGTTTCTTCAGATGGTCCGTTGGCCACCGCCCCGCAAACTTCAGTAGCTCCTCTCGGTACAACTTGACGTCGCCATGACAGGTCACTACATTCGAGGTGGCCTTCACTACCACCCACTTGGCAAACTCATTCTTGTCAGGAAACTCGAGAGAGGAGGAGCGATTCATGGTTTTTCTCGAGGATTTTCGGCTGGCGATAGGTGTTTTAATGAGTGATGGCAAGGAACTCGATTACCAACTGCCATGTTGCGTATGACATAAATTGACTCGAATCGAGGAATCCCACCGCTTAATTCGCATTCACAATTGGAAAGCTCATGGTGACACCGATACCAGCGCCAAAAACTGCGACCAAGCAAGAACCATCGACAATAAAAGCTCCCAATTCGAAAAAGAAATTCTACATGTATGCTCGACGTCAAGCACCTGCTGCAAAACCCCCTGAGGTTTTATTACCAGTGAAGCTCATCACTAAGGAGTCTGAATTGCAGGGTTTCTTGGGCAAGAACAACAACACGTTTGCCCCCGCAGATATGTCAACTGTCGGTGTGCACTTTCAATTTGCGGTCCAGAATAATTCCCAGCAACCGGATCAAGTGGTCGCTATTGTGATCTGCAGTGATGTTCCAAGTGAAGTCGCAGTGGTGCTCGTGTTAGCGTCACTAAGTCAGACTCGAATCACCACTGGACTAAGGGCTTTGCTCAGTGATCCGTCAGTCGTTAAAGTGATGTATAGCGTCCACCAAGTTGCGTACTGGCTCCACTCTTACGGGTTGCAAGATCCTACTCTTGTAAAGTGCGTCGACTTACAATTATGGTACGAAAACGCAGTAGATCGTACCATTTTGAGCGCGGATGTTCTCCAGATCGCCGCTGCTTGCTCTCCAGAACCAGCGACGGAACTAGCACAGAGTATGCACTCGTTCAAGGCGAGAATGAGTCCACTGAGCTTCGAGAAGTGGACTAACAATCCTTTACCTGAGAGAATTCAACGCTCGCTTGCTCAAACCGCCAAGTTGTACGCTACCTGCTACTCAAATCTACGGTGCAGTTTAGACAAGCGCATGAATTTAACGTGTGCGAATATGACAAACACCCGGTGGAAAGTTGCCGTTTTCAACGAGGGACATCACTCGATTTGGTTTGACCCTGCCGCCGACAACCAGCCGCGTAGCCTTGAGTACCTCATTTCGAGAGCTGGTGGTGAGTCAGCGATTGAACTTCCAAAGCTGGAGCTGCAATGCGAGCTTGATTCGCTACTTGAACTTCTTCCAGAATCCTATCGAGACGCTATCCGTGAGGTGGGAAATTATCATTTTCGACTGGTTGACATCTGTGTCGACGTTGGTCGAACACCTTTTGCGTACACTGGCAAGAAACAGCGTGTTTTACTCGCCCAAGACGGGACTGTGGTGTCAAAGGAGACCGTCAACGACATTATTATGAACCTGGGAGGCGAGATGCGTATCGGAAATGACAACCGAGCCGGCATCGACAGACAACTGCACCGCATATCAGTCATGCGCAGTAAGACCGACGAGGTGTACGGACTCACCATGCGAGTTGGTCGAGCGCTGCGCAACGCTGCGTGTGTGTTGACAGATCTGCTACTGAGCGATAAAAACGCCGACAAGTCGGTGCTGGTGTTGGGCCATCCGGGTAGTGGCAAGACGACGCTCATCCGAGACGTGGCTCGCTGCGTGTCCGAAACGATGGAGAACGTTTGCATTATTGACACGTCGAACGAGATCGGCGGTGATGGTCTAGTGCCGCACGAGTGTGTGGGGTGGGCTCGGCGAATGATGGTGCCGTCACTGGAAGCGCAGGCTGGAGTGATGGTGGAGTGCGTGCAGAACCACACGGTGGAGACGCTGATCGTGGACGAGATCGGTCGGAAGGCGGAGGTGTTGGCTGCGTCGACGGTGCGTCAGCGTGGTCCTCGATTGATCGCGAGTGCTCATGGCGATTTCCGAGCGCTGATCAAGAATCCTGACTTGAAAGGGCTAGTTGGTGGGTCTCAACAGGTGATTGTAGGCGATAAAGAGGCGAAGGCATCGAATCAGGGAAAACTGCAGACTCAGCGAGCGGGTAATCCGATCTTCGACGTGATCGTGGAATTGGATCACGTGGTTCGCGGTCGCTGTCGGATTATTTGGGATGTGGCAAAGGCGGTGGATAATGTACTGGAGGGCAACGACTACTCGTTCGAGACGCGTCGGTGGGATGCAAGTACGCGCGGTGTTCAAGTGCTCAGGAAGTAATGGTGGTGGTAGACAACTTTTTTTTTTGCAAATCAGTTGACACATCGGTTAAGCATCTTGGTTCTTGATTCGTGTGTAGGTAGAAATTTGAGTTACGAAAATATCTTATCATATCTGTTGTCTGCCAACGATTTGGTGAATGGACGTCTTTGCTACTGCTATCTGCTAACCGACAATGACAGCAAACTGTGGAATTAATGGTAATTTATCATGTAAATTTCATCATCGAGTAATCCGGTATCTATTTTTTTCGCAATATAAAAACGTCCCAAAAATCGCAGTATTAAAATAGATATTAAATAGATAATTTGTTTTCAATTACTCAGGATAACAGTAAGGCCCGTTCTCAACCGAGGCGTCAGAGCGACGCATGCGTTGCATGCGTACCCTAAACATCGCAATTCAAAATACTTGACTATCATTGGCAGAATAATAGCCAGTCATGTTGTGTTCTAGCAGTTCTACCCTGGCGCTAAACCGCTACCAAACTACTGGTAATTAACGAGCGCGGCGATGGAAAACCAGGATCCCCTCCTAGTAGAGAATATTCCTCGCCAAGCCCCATCGTCCCAGGAGCCTCCTCAGCAGATGCATGCACTTCCCAATCTAAACGTACCCTTTGTAATCTGCCAATAACTGGTCCAAAACAGCTTTGTCTTTGTGTGTCGGGTTCATGATCGGGGGCAATGAGGCAGCAG